CTTCCAACCCAAACCATTCTATGATTATAACTAGAACATATTGTTTACCTTGTTTCTGAATTTTACACCATAGAACTTGTCAGCTGACTCAAGCAGTTCAGGCCTAAAAGTTGTTGTAATAAACTGGGCATGTTCAGCAAGTTCCATAATCATATCTAAAAAAGAACAAAAAACTTCTTTATTAATGTAATCTTTTCAATGAAGTGGGACAGGTCTTAATATGAAACGGGAAAAGTTTGCTATTCCTTATTCAAAATGAGGTATTGGTTAACAAAATTGAAAAACCCCAGAAATCAAGAAAGGACTCAAACCAGGGTTTTAAGTATTATCATTAATTCCAGTATCAACTCTGACAAATCCATCCACTCAGCAAAATCAGCAGAGTATTAAACTTACAGAAAATCCAGAGTAAACACTTTTTCAACAATGCTATGAGCTAACAGTTCCTTTTAAAAATCAAACTACACTTCAAAACATGATTATTTCCACCACACTGAAGTGTAGCAAGGAGACCCTTTAGACACAGCAGACAATACAGAGCTTCTACCTAAAACCAAGTTCATGAAAGCTTCAGAAGGCACAAAGTTAAATTCTAACACACATGTTGGGACATCCAAAACTGTGCCTTTATGATCAAAGGCTTTTAAGCATCAGGTATGAGAGGACAGACTATCACCTTCAACCATAACGAAGATGAATAAAGGTAGACAGTTACCTGAAACAGCTTTTCTGTGCTGAGCATCCAAGGCTTGGTCGATTTCATCAAACAAGTAAAATGGAGCTGGATCACATTTCTGGATAGCAAATATCAGGGCTAGGGCCACTAAGGATTTCTGTCCCCCTGAAAGTTGCTGCATTTCTCTCATTTCACCCTGCTTCCCTGTAAACGATACCTAAGAAAACAATGCAAAAGCAAGATGACTTCAAAATATTAAACCACAACATCACTTGCTATTACAGTAAATAAACAAGACCAATAAACATTGCCTTTTAAATATATAGTTAAAAGGCAATTTAAATGAATATTCAGAACACTGAAACACAAATATTTTTCTTTACCCTTATGCCAACTCCAGTGAACTGGTCTACAGATGGAACACTGCTCTGAGATCCAGATCCCCTTTCACTCTCAGTGCTGCCTTCACCTTCATCCTGGGACTGACTGCCCTCCACATCTCCTTTCTTCATCACTAATGTGGCCTTGCCACCAGGGACTAACTTCTGGAATACTTCACTGAAATTTTTTGACACCTGAAAAAGAAACAGTCAATACACCAGTTCATTTTAACATAGTGAAATCAAACGCAAACAGCTGTTTCTACATTATCACACAAAACAGCTGCTTCAAAGCAGAGATCCACACTCTTCTTAAGCAGAAGTGAGAAACATACTATACAGAGCTTGGTTTAAAAACACCTAAACTAACTGTTCTTGTAGCATGAGAATTTTCAGAATTTTTTTAAAGAAAATGGTAGAATTAAAACATAAAACAGCAGAAAATATAAGTATTACTTATTACAGTAAACTTCAGACAAGATCTCAGTTAAGCAAATGACCTTTCAAGAGAAAACTTCACACACTGCATAGCTAAGATCCTCTGTTAACATTAGGAATTACTTTCGCCAAATCTGGAAAATGAATTTGGTGTGGTTTTTTTTACCAGACATTCCTCAGAAAAGGTGGTAGGTAGTACAATGAGATTGATCAGGGAGGAAGTATTTAAGAAGTTTAAAGCAAAGCGAGGGTTGGAGTACAAAGATAAGCACCTATTTAAAATGCTAGCCTTTATACAGTATCTAAAAACCCCACAAACATCAAGTCACATGATGCTGCATTCTATTATCACAGACATACTTCATCTCTGCTTCTTGCCATACAGCTGCCACATAATAGCACAATTTGATTTCAGCACCAGTGTCTTTGCAATTGTAGCCATTTTGTTACCTGTTTGAAGGTCAGCTGAATAGCCTCATATTTCCTGAGCTCAAGGACATTCATCAGCTCCATGATGGATTTGTAGCCTCTGTCCAGTTCCTCTTGTCTTTTTATCAACTTTTCCTTCTGCTCTGAGAAATTCACAAACTGATCTAAAGCTTTTTTATTAACATGACTGTATTTCTTCAGTTCCGTATTGCACTGCTCCAGTTTGCGGAATAACTGCAAATGGAAAATATTAACGGCTTAAAGTGACTTGCAATTCTAGTCACATTGGACACTCAAGATGTAGGTGACACTAATCTTTCAGGTCATGACACATGAAACTAAGCACACTTATTACCTGCTTTAAACTTAAAGTCTGATACTTTTCAAAAGCCTCCTGTGGAAGTGAACCCAGCTCTCGGATTTTCTTCATGCATTCCTCTTTCTTCTTGAGGAGCATGCCTTGCCTGTTAGTCATTTTTTCAAGTTCTTTTGTATCGTGGTTAATAGCATCCATATGCTCCTTCTCCATGTTCTTCCATCGTTCCATGCTCTTCTGAAGCTCTTTAATTCCTGCTTCTGTTTTGTCAATAGAATTATCCAGATCTGAAATATTGGGTGAGAGCACAAAACCCAAAGTGGTAAGTCTTACATGCCTGCATAAAATCAGCAATTATCCAGTCAAGCATTTATGAAACAAAAATATTATCTAAAGAAAAAGATCTAGTAAGGAGTACAAAGCTAATTTTACAACAAAAAGCTGAAAATCCTTCTCTTTTGTTCCCCATGAGTACATGGCTTAAAAAAACCTAACATACTAAGGTCATATTGTTAACATCTAGAAAGTGAAGCAAAAAAAGTTTGAGCCATACAGATGCTACTTCCTATTTGACAGCAACTTAGAGAGGTTGGACAAAATTCAAGAACAACTATACAAGATCATGTTTGTATGAAAGTTGCTTTAGAAGGATTATGACCTGAAGCCAGAAATCTGTTATCACTGACATACTCACTGGTATTACAGGGTGCACTTGTGGACAATCTTCTATGCACAACATCTTGTTTCACTTACTTTTTGGAGCAAGTTCCAAAAATCTGTTACACACTACGTAGCTACTACAGCATATTGGAAATTAATGATTACTTCTCACATCTTCTATTTCTAAACCAAAATACGGTATGTGTGAACTTTCAAAACACCACTGGAGAAGTGTATATATATATATATATATATATGTATATAAAGGTACCAACCATCTGACCGTGCCAGTGTGTCCTTCACTCGTTTGTTGATAGCCTCAAGTTCCGATGTTGTGGCAGTAAGAACTGTGCCACCTTCTGTTTCTCGAAGCTCATTCAGTTCCTACGGGACAAAGTAAATACCACCAAGTTTCAGCACGAAGGGAAACAACAGTATAAGCCAACCAAACAAGTTATCTTCTGCTACTCTACATGTAACTACTAAATGTTTTAGAGAATAGCTAGATTTTCAAACAAATCTGTCAGTATCATGGTCCTACTTACAGACAGGCTGTGTATTCAGAGTAAGATTTCTGTCAAAAATTCACATGCCTAAAATACTATGATGAATTAACTCACCTTGTGTATATGGGAGCAAAACCCATCAGAGATAATACAGGGTAATGAATGAGTATTGCTCAAATGATTAACACATGAAAGCCCTGGAAACAAACCAAATAAACAAAAAACAGATTGCAAAAGTACATTAAAGATAAAATCCTTACCTGTTCCACTTGGTCTAAGCGTTTTCTCAGATTCTCATTGAGGTATGTTTCAACTCTTGTAATAATGCCTTCTAGTTTAATCCTCTCATTCAAAAGCTGTCTGTTTTCCTGAAAAAGAAAAAAAATCATATTAATCGTCTTAACTGACTCCTAAACAACTATTTTTTCCTTGTTAAAGAAATAAGACAAACAAAACCCCACCCTTTACACAATTCTGTGTATTAAAATATTGCACAATTCTTTGGACTGTTGCTCTAATTTTAACAGGTAGAAAGAACCTGTAAGTATTTTTGTGCCTGTCTAGTGTAAAAGCCAAACTGTATTAGCATCTTAAACCCAGAAGAGCTTTAAGAGAGTGTACTCTAGTAGTATTTTTTCAACAACATGGGTGTCAGACAAAACCTTAGTTTTTGTCTCATTCACCATGCACCTATAGGCTTTGTTTTATCTTCCCACACTGTGCATCATTCCTTTCAGATGATACCTATTTGTATTTATTGTTGTAAAGTTCAAGAGCAAGAGCAAGGAAACTGTGATGATTCCAATACAAGGAGCCATAAACCTCACACAATACAGCTAGTAAAATTCACCCAGCATTTGAGAAAAACACAGGTAGAAATACTTTGCAGGTGAGAAAACTGCAAATATGCCTACCTACTACTGATGAAAAACTACTTTAATTACACTATATTCACAAGTGGCTTCTCATACAAAAGGACAAAAGTAAGTTTACTAGGAAGAAAGGTACCACATTTAATGGCAAGACATTTTCACTTCCTTACTTGCTGTAGTTGTCGAATTTCATCATTAAGAGCATCCACACGTTTCTGATCGTCAAGACTGAGCTGAGACAACAAATCAGTCCCCAGTTCTGCTTTTAATGATTCTCTGGTTGACTCCATAGCATGTAAACTTGCCTCCAAGCTCTGCAAACTGCGTTGCTATGGAACAGATATTAGACAGAATCATTCCTCAAAGCAATCTGTAGATTTATATGAATTTCACCTTTCTGTTTACATAAACACATTTTTGCGACACATCTCTATAGTCATCTCTTCACCTCATCATATTTTATACTGTGATGTTAACTAGAAAGGAATGCGAATTTAACAGTTATGTTAATGAAATAATATAAAACCAGTAACAGCTTTCAATATCCCCATACTATACCTTAGGCATAAATGTCTTTTCAGACTGCTGCCTTTTCTCCTTCAGCATTTTCATCTCTGACAAAATACTGTCTCGAGAGGCTTTGAACTTTCTCTGCTGTGTCTCAATTTGCTGCATCTGGTTCATTAGCTGGTCAATCTCATTATTAATCCATACTGTGGGCTAAGGAAAATGCTGGTTTTTTTGAAAGACATTTTATACCTACTAGTACCTTCAATTTTTATTTGGTTTGACATATTCAGCTGCCATCAAAATTTTAAAAAAAAATTTAAAAATCCACCAAACAAAAATATTCAGTTGTACAGGAGAAATCAAGAACCATCAACAAAAGCAACTTGAGTACCCTTATCAATACCAAGAACAAATAAGGAAAGCTTCATTTAGCAGTTAATTTTACAACATGGAACTCAAAAAACCACAGGGATATATTTCAACTTGTATGGAAAACTCAGATCTTACAAAATACAGGAGACCAGATGCCTACACACAAAAATAAATATTGAAACAATACAATTATCCCTTACCCAATTCTGAGGCAAAAAGTGTAATTTGTTCGTGTTAATTTTGATATACTGGCTCAAGTCATGGCACAGAGTTTGCAGAAGATCATGTTCTAATTGACGTTGAATTGCTAACATCACGTCACTCCTACTACAACGTGTATTTTAACACAACATCAACTGAAATGCCCTAAAAATTACATAATTCCCCTAAGCAGAGGTTACAGTAAAAAACTTCACTACATACTTAAAACATTTTGGGAAAACTGAATGAGCTACACAACAGGAAATAAGTATGAATGGCTATTTTACTTTTAAAACAACTGAGGTCTGTTTGTGTTATGTTCTACAAGTTCCTGTCAGACAGCAGTAACACTCTTACTACATCACTCATCTACCACAGCTGAAAGGTATGCCAGAAAGCACCCTACCTACATCCCATATAGATCCTTCATCAAAAAGAAAACACAGACCTAAAGATTTTTACTTAAATGTCAAAAAGAAAGATTTCTCAGTTCCAAAAGAGCAGTCCTGGTTAAAAGTTAAACTGAAACCAAAGGGTCTAACAGGTAATTCCTACAAGCAGCAGGA